ATTGGGGTTCTTCTCCTTCCTGTATTCCTATTATTCATAAGTTTGGTCTTTTTATGGTGTCACACAATTCCTGCATATTCCATTCTTGTGGTTTCTTAAAATTTTCATAATCTTTGCTTGAGTGGTCTAGTGCGTCCACTTTATCTTCCAGTCTTGATACTCTGTTTTCCATTTCATTCATCCTATTGGTGAGGCTTTCTCCTGTCGTTTCTAATTGGCTTACTGTTTCACTTCCTTCTTCATTTCAGCCTGAGTAGTCTTCAATATTTCTAACTCTTTTCTGAATTCATTCAGAAGTTTATCCCTATCTTCCTTCAGTTGATTTTTTTTTTGTGTGTTCTTTAAATTCACTGAATTCTATCATATTTATAATTGTTCTTTTGAGCTCCATGTCCTGAATTATTTCTAGGGGGTTCTCATTGTACTCCTCTAGAGGACAATTGGTATTTGGTGGGGATATGTTATTTTGGCTTTTCATGTTGTTATTTTTTCTCTGTGATTTTGACATGTGAATTTCTTTTATAGTTTCTGATTCTTCTGTGAGACTCAAGCCTTCAAGTTTAGACAGATGCTTCTTTTTTTGAACTTTATGTGTCTTTGTCGTTTACTTTGGAGCCATGAAAAGCTGGTTCCTCTAAGCTTCCAGTTCTCTCTCTTGATTTTATATTGGAGTGGCCAGATTGCTTTTGTCTTCAGGAGTTCCCACAGAGGCCCAAGTTAGATGAGGATCAGATGTTCTGAGGCTTTCTCCTAACATCTGGATCTCTCCAGAAAAGATTTTGGCCTCAGGAATTTGGGTGTTGGACTGGCCTGCCCAGGAAAGATGCTGGTCTAGGGCAGCTGGTAGCCGTGCCACCCAGAGATGCAAAGGAAGATGGGGGCGGGAAGCAGCCCCAAGGGCTCCTGGGGACTTCACTGAGCTGGGTTGGTCCCTGAGAGAGGCTTGCGAGTTGGAGAGAGGCCCGTGGATCGTGCAGGCCCAGGGAAGCAGAGGCCTAAATGTTTTATATTTTTTAATCCCAGCCCTTGGGAGACAGAGGGAGGTGGATCTCTGTGATTCTGAGGTCAGCCTGGTGTAAATAGGGAGTTCCAGGCCAGCTGGAGCTAGAGGGAGACCCTGTCTCAAAAAAGACAAAAAAAGAAAAAAGTTTTATATTTATTATTTTTACTTTATGTTTATGAGTTTATTGTTTGTATGTATAAAAGTGCACCCATGTCATGCAATGCCAGTGGAAGCCAGAAAAGGGCATCAGATCCCCTGGAACTGTTGGTGGTTGTTAGCCACCATGTGGGTGCTGGGAATCAAACCTGGGTCCTCTGCAAGAGCAGCCAGTGGTCTTAACTGCTAAGGTATCTCTCCTGCCCTATTTTTTTTTTTTAAATTATATGTGTGTGTGTGTGTGTGTGTGTGTGTGTGTGTGTGTCTGTGTCTGTGTCTGTGTGTGAGTATATACATGTGAGTACAGGTACTTTGGAGGCAATCTAATTCCCATGGAGCTAGATCCCACTAGAGTTGGAGTTATGGATGGTTATAAGCCACCTATAAGAATTGGGGTCTGCTGGGCATGGTGGTGCATGCCTTTAGTTCCAGCACTCAGGAGACAAAGGCAGGCGAATCTCTGTGAGTTCAAGGCCAACCTGTTCTACAGATGAATTCCAAGCCAGCTAGGGCTACAGAGAGACCCTGTCTCAGAAAGATCAAAAAACAACAACAACAAAAAGATTGGGGTCCCCTGCAAGAGCAGTATGTACTGTTACTACTGAGTCATCTCTCCAGCACCATCTTTAATTTTGAGATAGGGTCTCACAGTGTAGTCCTGGCTGGCCTGGAACTCACTGTGTAAACTAGGCTGGCCTCAAACTCACAGAGGTCCATCTCCTCTGCCCTCCAAGTGCTAAGATTAAAGGTCTGTGACACCAGGCCCAGCTGGTTTCTTTATATAGTGCAGCCCAGGCTGACCTTAAACTTTCAATCTCTGTCTCAGTCTCCCAAATGCTGGGATTGCAGACATGTGCCACCTATACTAGGTTAATCACAGTCTTTCTATCAAGATCTTTGATTAAAGTAATGAGTAATGAAACTGGACAATCCATCAAAAGGGACCAGAGTGGAAACAGCAGAATGAGAAGGGACCATAGTGGTAGGAGGGTAGTGTGCTCAGACTCAAGCATGCAGGAGGGCCAGTCCAGTCTTCTCCTCACACTCTGGACTTGCTCACTGCTGCAGGGAGGGGACTGAAATAGTGCCACCTTTCCAGACTCATGCTCTCAGCACTGTGAAATGCCATCAGATTTTCTTTTGGAAACTAATTCTGAGCTGAGGACTCAGGTAGTCAGGAAACTCAACTCAGGTATGTGCTCCAAAACAGCAAGAATCTTCTTCAGGGATGCAGGCCCCATGCAGTTACAAGGCCTTGAGAGAAAAGTCAGGTTGAGGGGTATGGGGGTGGCTGAGGATATAGCTCCACTGATAGAGTGCTTGCCTAGCATGCATGAGGTCATAGGTTCCTTTCCCAGCACTATACAAAAACAAAAAACAAAAATAAAACAAAACAAACAAAAAAACCAGGTGTGGTGGTACACACCTGTAATCCCAGCACTTGAGAGGTGGAGGCAGGAGGACCAGCTCAAGGTCATTTTTGACAGTGAGTTTGAGAAAGGTAAGATGTAACCCAGGGGCTTCAAAGGCCAGGACGTCCATCAACTCTGGTAGGGTGTGGTAGAATAAAGAGAAGATATTCCAATATAGGGTCAGTCACAGACCTAAAAACTCAGGCCAGGCTGGGCATGGAGCCTCATACCTGAAATCACTGTAATCTCAGCTCTCTGGAGGCTGAGGGGGGAGAATCACCATGAATCTGAGGACAGCTTGAGCTACAGAGGAATTCCAGGCCAGAGTAAGACTCTGTCTCAAAAAACAAAACAGATTCAAGCCAAGCTCGCCTACACATCCTAGAAAAAGGGAAGAAAGACAAGTAGCTACTGTAAAACACTAGAAAGCTGGGATGTGGCTAGAGCATTTGCCTAGCATGTGCAAGTCTCTGGATTTGATTCCTAGTAACACACACACACACACACACACAGGTGACCAGTACAGAGGCCCAAGGCAGATCCCAGTGTCAGTGTGCCCCCATCCCCTCTCCACCATGGTTGAAGCAGGGTCATACATAGGGCTCTCTACAAGCTAGCAAATGGAGAGGAAGCTGAGCCCCCTTGAATGCCCCAGGTCTCACCTGGTCCCCAGGTTAGGCAAGCCAATCAACTGGATGAAGTAGATCCCTATTTGACAAAAAAATACAAAGAAGAACACGAAGAAGCTGAAAGAGTTGTCAGACCTGTGGAGAGAGAGAGAGAAATAGATCACAAGATGGCTTGGGGACGGCTCAGTGGGAAAAGGTGTTTGCTCACAAGTCTGACAACCCAAGTTCGATCCTGGGACCTACATGGTGGAAGGAAAAAACTAACTCTTACAAGTTGTCCTCTGACCTCCACACATGTACGTACCATAGCACACACATGTGTATATGTGCATGCACTATACACACATATAAATAAATGTAAAAAAATTATAAAACAAGGCTCAGGCTGTTTACCTTAGCATTCATTACCTGGTATAACATCATTCTTTTCTTGAAGCCAGAGGCAAGACAGATGACAGAAGGCAGCACCCCAGGGACCAGCCACACATTCATAAGGACAAACACACATGACATGAACCACTATAATTAAGAAGGGTTATCTTTCACTACCTCCCAACTTAAAGGGTCAGGGCTTGACTCCCTCAAAAAACTGGTAAAACTGCTCCCTCAAAGGGCAATACAGGGGCTGGAGAGATGGCTCAGCAGTTAAGAACACTGGCTGCTCCTGAAGAGGACCAGGGTTCAGTTCCCAGCACACACGGCAGCTAATACCATCTGTAATTCCAGTTCCAGGGGATCCAATACCCTCTTCTGTCCTCCGTGGGCATTGCCCAACATGGGTGCACATACATACATCCAGGCAAACCACTCATACACATAAAATAAAAATAAATTAATTAAAATTAAAGGGCAACACAAAAAGCCTAATTAATACTCCATCTGGAATACCTGTTTTTCATAGCAGGCAAAAAAAATCTAAGCCAAAAGTATAAATTTTTAACTCTACAATGGCAGTTACAATGGCAATCTACAGGCTGGGGGTATAGCTCAATGTTAAAGACATCTGGGAGGTAGGAACACTGGGTAGATTCCTCAAGGGTTGAGTACTCTACCATTGTGTTCTTTTGTTTTTGTTTCAGACAGGGTTTCATGTAGTCCAGGCTGGCCTCAAATTCTCTGTGTGACCTTAAACTTTTGACCCTCCTGACTCCACCTCTTAAGTGCTTAGATTAAAGGCCTGTGCTACCACACCAATTTTATGTGGTACTGGAATTGAATCCAGGACTTTATGTATGTTAGGCAAGTACTCTACCTACTGAGCTACATCTCCAACCCCAACCACTGTGTCCTTGAGGACTAGAATACAGAAGGAGTTCAGAACTACCCTGCTGATGCTCCTGACCCTTCTTCCCAGGATCCACTGGGCTCCCAGCCCCAAAAGCATCAAACATGAGGAATAATTTCAAAATCCCAGGGGTCTGTAAGGACTATCCGTTTATGTTCACAGGAGATAGTCTACATCCCGGTACACAACAGATGCCTGAGACCAGAGGTGAGCATGAAAGGTGGCCATAGACCATGCCCACCTGAGCCCACAGAGCAGTGCCCTGAGCCTCTGAAATGGGCTCCCTCTTCCCAGCAACTGAAAGCCCTACCCGCCAACTAGCCTGACTGGGAACAATGGGACAGCAGGTGAGGCTCACAATCCCCTCTCATTTTCGTGAGCTCATCTAAGACAGACCCAGAGGAAACTTGAACTATAGAGGAGTTTGATTCATCTGCTCTGGCTCTGAGTGGGAAAAAGAGAGCAATCTATTCTGTGCGGGGACTGGGAAGGGGCCCAAGGTGTGGGTCCATCGGCCTCTTGTGGGATGCCAGCCATACCCTCACCCCTTGTACTACCTCCACTCACCTGAAAGCCTTGTAGATGGGACGGTACCAACAGAGGAAGGCACAGGGGGTGAAGATGAGAAACCACAAGATGGAGAGGCCAAAGGCCGTTCCATTGGCGGCATCACTTGTGAACCAGGCCAGGCACGCAAGCAGGTTCAGAAACAGAGTCACTGAATGCACTGGGAAGGGACGAGGAGAGAAAGGTAGCTTGAACCAAGGTGGCTGAGGGTTGGCTGCCCCACAGAGCAAGCCACTCCCTAGGAGATGAAACGAGGTCCATATTGTGAGGGTAGCTAAAAAACCTGTAGAGGACCCCAGTCTATACTTGGGCAGGATTAGCTTCCAAATCTTGGTTTTCTGGGGCCTTACACCAGGAACCAAATTAAGTTCTTAGGAGGTGACAGGTAGACTAGGTCTCTTTGGGGTAGGTATGGTGCGGTGCAGACCCAGAGCTGTGGATCCTTAGGGAATGAAGTAACTTCTTTTTTTTTGAGACAGGGTCTCGCTATGTAGCCCTAGCTGGTCTGGAACTTGCTATAGAGACCATACTGGCCTTGAACTCACAGAGATCCGCCTTCCTCTGCCTTCTAAGTGCTGTGATTAAAGGCACGTACCATCATGCCTAGCTTGAAGTAATTCTTTTTCTCACTCTAAGGGCCCACAATGGAATCTCAAAGTCTTAGTCTTCACCTCTAGGGGCCAAGAGGCCTGTGGAGAGGGGAGGCCTTCACCCAAGCTGAGCCTTTTAGCACAGTGAACTATGTGGGGACTCAGAAGTCTCTGGCTAGTTCCATCTCAACTGCCTTAGTAGTCTAGCTGCCCCTTCTGAGCAGGTCCCAGACTGGGGGCCACCTGTGGGTATAAGGAACCTCACATGCCAGTCCAGGCACGAGGAAGGCCAGAGTCTGCAAGAGGTCTTGACCCCAGGGTAGAACACCTAGAGCAAACATAGGGTTGTCAAGATGTTCCCAATGCACTCTGGAACTCCAAGGCCAGGAGCAGGACTCACACATCCAGAGATAGTAGAGCATCTTGCATATCCGCTGGTAGTCAGCAGGGATCTCGGTGGAGAAGTCTTGATAGAAGCAGGGCTTGACAGGGCACCATGAGGGCAGGGGCGGCCAGTTGTTGTCTCTCACTGTGAGGAAAGGGTCCAGCCTCAGTAGGGGCACGAAGGACAAGACACACTGGCCCAGTTTATATGCAAAGCAGGGCTTGCAGAAAGGCCCCAGCAAGCAGAATTCAGGAGTTTCAGTAGGCTTCATGAAGCATGAAGTCGGGTAGAAAAGAGACCCAGAGAAAACTCACAAGCTCACTCCAAGATAATGGCACTGGGTAACAGAGGGAACAAAGTGGCCTAAATGATTATTTTTATTTATTTATTATTTTATTTTATTTTTTGTCTTTCTGAAGCAGGGTCTCCCTGTAGGCCCAGCTGTCCTGGAACTCACTATGTAGACCAGGCTGGCCTTGAACTCACAGAGATCTCCTTGCCTCTGCCTCCCAAGTGCTGGGACTACAGGCCTGTGCTACCAAGCCCAGCTATTTTTATTTTTTATTTTATTTAACTAATTAATTTTTTTTTTTCCTTTTTTAGAGAGGATCTCCCTCTAGCCCCAGCTGACCTGGAACTCACTTTGGAGACCAGGATGGCTTGAACTCATAGAAATCCACCTGCCTCTGCCCCTCTCCATGCACCACCACGCCAGCATGATTATTTTTATTAACAACCAACCCATAAACAAAGCAACCAGGGTCATCTTTATAAGCATGGGATCATGGACCCAGTGCCCTCAGTGCTATTAAGGTATCAAAGAATCAGAACTGGGAAGGAGTGTGGAAATAACCTGTATCTATCAGGACTACACTGCAGGTCTTCTAACTTCTACCTTACTGCTGTCCCCTAGAACCAGCCACCCTTTCCCCCTTGCTCAGTGCTATTTTATAGCCCAGCTTGCCCTGGAACTTGTGAGTGAGCTTCCTGCCTCTGCCTCTCAAGTGCTAGGATTACAAGCATTGCCATGACACTGAACTCCCAGAATCAATAATGTTCTGAAGTCGGGAACTTTGCAAGTTCTGTGGTTACCCCAGGAAGAAGGTGGCAGCTTAGGTGAGCCCCTGGGTAAGGTTAAGGGCATCATCTTGTGCCAAGTAAAGCAGGCTGGGTCCCAGCAGTTTCCTTTACCATGCAAGTTGGCCGCGGTGTTCTGTAACTCCCGTTCCTTGCGTTCCAGCTCAGCAGCTTTCCTGTCCAGTTCTTCCTGCTGTCGGAGCAGGCCTGCCTGGGCTGCAGCTGCAACAGCCTGGAGAGAACAGAAGCAAGCGACATCCGGAAATGAGAAAGGAATGGTGGCAGCCCAGGCAGATGGGTAGGGCATTTCAATCAGGCAGCAAGAGCTACAGGCATCCCAGAGGCAGTCCCGACCAACAGAGTGCCTTGGTTACCAAGGAACAGATGGAAGTGCCACGGTGACCCATTGCCCACTCACTGTCCATATGCCTTTGACCCCTTAAGTCATTCCCAGTGTTCTCCACTCCCGTCCTTCCTCCCTCATGGCTTCTCCTTTAGTCCCCCATATGGGAATCCAGGCTGAGGTTGACTTATAGTGCCCTTTGGGGTAACAGCAAAGGGAAAAAAACCTCACAAGACACCGACCTGAAACCAGAAACCCAGAGACTTGAGTCCAAAGGGAAGAGCCTGGAGTGGGTGTGCCAAGTGGAGACAGCATTAGGCTGCCAGCAGCAACATTGAGAGACGACATGAGGGCAGGTCACAGGCACCAGCACCTTTATTAGAGCATCCTCCCTCTCCAGGCCCACCTCAACAGGAGATCAACTCCACAACCGGCTATGCCTTGGGGACAGTCCATGAGGCACGGCCCTGCTCTGTCCAGCTTCCAAGGCATACAGAGGCCAAACTTTATCACCTCTGCTGGCAGAGGCTGTAAATGACACAGCTCAGGTGTTCTCAGGTAAGGCTGAGCAGAACTGGGCCTAGTGTCCTGCTATGGTCCTCTGTGCAGGAGCTAGTCATATCTCACAGGATGATGTGTGTACATGCACACATTTCACCAAAGCAGTTCTCCAGAGAGCTGAGGTTGCCTCTGGGAGATAAAATTCAGGCACTGGGATTAGAGCTGACCACACAGTGCCACACTGAGGGTCCTAGCTTTGTCTCCCAAAATATGTGTCTTCAGTGGAGCGGAGGCAGGGTCTCTGCAGCCATCACCCTGCTGAACATAAATTCACCCTATATGTAGGGCTTGTCTCACTTCACATTCTAGGGCCCAGGCTGGGGCAGGCTCCAAGTGCCCGGGCCACCTTCTTGCTCATCTACGCTGGGCCTACCTTCGGAAACTTTGGCATGTAGCTGTCTCTGGGAATACTATCTCCTTCTAGTAGCATCTGTCTCTCTGAGAGCTCACCCGCTGCCAGGAATTGGGCAGGCAGGAACTTGCTGGCTTGCCTAAGCAGGAGCTGCAATACACAACTCCACTGTGGGCCATGCACACATGAGATAGGGTGGGGGTGGGGTAGGGAGATGATAGAGGGGAGCACCGGGCACAAGACAGACAAAAGTCACTGGACTTGGTACAGGAACAAAGGGAAATGGGAAGGAAGGCAAGAATAAATGAGGTTTAAAAAAGAGAGGGTCAGGGATGTAGCTTGGTGACAGGAAAAGTATAAAGCCCTGGATTTGATTCCCAGCACCACAAAACCAATGAATAAAGAGATAGATTCTGGGACCTGAGTAAAACAGGAAAGCCAAGGGCTCCAGGAGGACCGACAGTGACACATAGGGAAGAGTTCTTCAAACACACCAAAGACCCCAGCCTAATGAGTAGAACAGTGGATGGGGGGGGCGGGAGGAACAAGGATTCAGGTTGGCAAAACATCTGCTCTTCCAAAGAAATTCACAAGAGGATTTGAAGGGGACCCAGGGATGAAGGTCCTTTGCCTGCCCCCGGCCTCAGGGTTTAACTATATGGACTTGGGTCATTCCCTTTCCTGGACAGGAGAGGCCAAAGGACCCAATCAGTACCTGGGGTGTTGGCTGCACTGGTTCCACTGAGGGCTGGAGAACTGCTGGTTGAGAGGGCCCAGGAAGTTGTGTGACAGGAACTGTTGTTGCTGCATTTGTCTGTGCGGGACAAAGAAGGGATATAAGTGAACTCTACTAGTGGCAAACCCACAGGGTAAGAGGGTCTGATCTGCCTCACGCCTAGGGTACAGTGACCCCCTAAACCAATACACTGGGCTTGGTGGATCCCAGGCTCACTGCCCTGCCCCACCCTGTCAGAAGGGCCCAAGTCATGGGACCCACAGGAGAATTTCAGTGATCTTTGGGAATGTCTTCATCCTTACCTCATCTTGAGTTCATATTAATTAGTATTGTCCCTTTGAGGGCTATAGCTCCCTACAAGCCACTCTTTCTCTGTCATGTTCTTTATCCCAGATACCTTGGCACACACACCACCTCCCAGAGGGCCACAGGACTCAGAGAAATGACATGGTCACCAACCTCTGAGAAGGGATTGAATTCAGCCAGGCCACCCTGAGGGGCATTGGTCAGCTGTGTCACAGAGGGATCCTGGAAAGGGAAAAAAAGAGGCATTAGACACTAGCAAGAGGAGGCAGCCCTGACCAGAAGAGAGCAGCAACCCCATGATCTGACCACATCCTGAGCAGCCCGTGTCCAAGGCTCTGGTCTGCCCTGCCACAAAATCCCTTTAACCCTTTCTGGAAATGGTCAGCCCCATGTACTTACACAGAATTTATTTTCTGGAGGCCTAGAGAGGCTCATTGCAGGTTCTTTCAGTGCCCTTAAAGCTTCAAAGAGGGGCTCACAGTTTATTTTTCGGTAGGAATAAATGGAGTGGTAGAAATAGAGACCTGCCACTTTATAACCTTCCTGTAATGTTTTATTTCTTTTTTGTCTTTTTCCTGGGCTGGGAATGGAAGCCAGGGCCTGTGCTTGCTAAGGCCAAGAGCTCTACCACTGACCTAAATCTCCAACCCCCATTTTATTTCTTATTCTACAGAAAGCACTTATTCCTCTTGTTTTTTAAATGACAGTTAAAGGTCCTGGAACAAAAACTATACGGCTGGCTGCCAGCACTGATTTTATTAAATCAGGCACACTTGCTAGAAGGGGAGAAGGACTTAGATGAAAAGCCAGGAAAATAGTTCCTGTTTCTTTTTCTCCCCAGAGGGAGGGAGGCAGGGAGAAAGGGAGGGAGAAAGGGAAGGAGGGAGGGAAGGAGGGAAGGAGAGAAGGGAAAGAGGGAAGGAAGGAGGAAGGGATAAGTGAAACATCCACCTTGCTTTTGAAGATGGTGCATAAGTTACTTTTCTTGTTGCTCTAACAAAATACCCAACAAAGGCTAGGGAGGGAGGGAGGGAGGGAGGGAGGAAGGAAGGAAGGAAGGAAAGAAGGAAGGAAGGAAGGAAGGAAGGAAGGGAGAAGGAAGGAAGGAACCCTTATAGCTGAGTATGGTAGTATATGCCTGTAATCTCAGCACTCTTGAGACTGAGGCAGGAGGATTATGATCACAGAGTTCTAGGTCAGCCTGGGCTTACATAGTGAATTCTAGGACAGGTTGGGCTATAGAATGAGACCCTGTCTCAAAAAAACAAAAAACAACAAAAAACAAAAAAACAAACAAACAAAAAAACCCAGGAACAAAGGTCCTCAGAGCTCAGCCTTGTCCTGAATTAATCCTTTTTCCTTTTGGTCCCTGCTCAGGGCTCCTGCCCTCCTCTTTGCTAAAGCAGCCCCTTTAGTGGCAAAGGCAGTTTGTTTCATTCTGTATCTCTCTGAGCAAAGATCACCACCCCTTCCTGATCATAGGTATGGGGTTCAAGTCCTGCTCCATAGCCATGCTGGGGATCTGGAAAGGAAAAGCTGTGAAAGAGGCCAGAATGCAGTTCACTCCCAGCTCCCCTCATTCCCTCTTTTTGTTTTGTTTAGACAGGGTATATGTAGTCTAGGTTGGCCTCAAACTATATAGACCAGAAATGCTATCATTACAGGTGTGCACCACAACACCTGGCTCCACAGACCCAGTTCTTAAACTCAGTGTCAATGTTACACAGATACTCAGAGAGCAACCCCCTCAATTCATAGGTGTGCAAAGTAACAGCAGCCATGGTGAATAACTTGTCAGAGGACTCAAAAGTGGGAACTAGATCCCTATTTGGAACACTTACAGGGCTGAATATCTACCAAAAATGTTCTCTGGCTCTTCCATACACTAGCTCTACCTTCCCACCAGGACCACCAGCTTCCAGAGGGGAGGACTGTGCCTGAACATTCCCAGGGCCACATCCAGAGTGGAGCATACAGCAGGAAAATACTGAGTCTGGGCAGGACTCATCCTAGGAGCTGCACCTCCCTCCAACTTCCCCTGCACCAGACAGCGACCATATCCCTTCTACTGGACACCACCTCCGCTCTGATGGCTCCTGTAACTCCGAGAAAGTGACAAGGAGGTCATTCAAAGACAGGGAAACTGGTCCTAAGGTTATTTCTTGGTCTAACCACTAGCAGTTTTTCCCCAGAAATAGCTGACTGCCTGCAGGGAAGACCTGGCTCAGTATCTGTTCCCCTTTTCAAAGCCAGCAGATACCTGCCAGTGCAGGGTGAGCTCAAGTCACTGAAATCGAACCCATGAGCCAAGGAACTGGTTACTGCAGTCTGAGTCACCACAGGACAGAGAAACTGAGGGACAGCCGTGGTAAGCAGTGCCAGGTGCTGGCACATAAACACCTGGTGAAGGTGTGCATGTTTAATGGGCAGCTTGAGGCTCAAAGGCAAGATACCATTTCTATAACAATAGCAGCCACATTCTGGTGGCTAGATGGAGGTGTGTGTGACTGGCCTGTCCACACTGATATTCCCCCTCTTTTTTCTAATGCCTTCAAGGTATGGCCCTGGAGTCCACCAACAGGCTCATCCAAACAGAACTGTCCCGACTAGTGAGCTACGAATGCTCTGCAGCCATAAGCATCTAGGTCTAGTCTAAACTTTGGGCTCCTTGGGGTTTGTGAGGGACCTGAGGCAGAGCAGGGTTTGAGAACAAATATCACACACAGTAGGGCTGCTTCTTTCTCTAGAAAGTAGTGCCTGATGCCAGGTGACCTGCCACACACTAGTGGCTCAAGAACTTGGTGGCACCTTGCGGGGAAGATGAATCTTAAACACTGTGACATCCAGATCCTTCTCATGTAAGGAGGCCTGGGCTCTCCTTGGAAGCTGTGGGTAGCTTCAAGACAAGCTGAGGCCATGTAAAGAGAACTGGGAGGGAATGGGGACTCAGGGAAGGTGGCATTTCTGAGTGGCTACTATGTGCCAGGCTCACCACACAATGATGTTATTGTGAAGTTCTAGTCACCCCACAACTGACCACAGTATCACATCAGAAAAGAAGGTTCTGCCAGCCTTTCTCAACCTGTTTTACTTGTTTTTTTGAGAAACTTAGTGCCATACTGTCCCCTAAGGAACCTACTATAGGTCATTTTTTCTTTTCTTGTTTTTTATTCTGAGACAATCTTTCTTTGTAGCCCTGGGTGACTATGACCTCACAAACTTCCTGCCTTGGACTCTCCAGAGCTGGGATTAAAGGTATGCACAACTACAGATAGTTCTATGGTGATCTGACTTTTCTCCTATGTGTCTACAGTGTACTGATGGGCTGGTGAGATGGCTCAGCAGGTAAAGGTGCTTTCGCCAAGCCTGAGTGTGATCCTTGGAACCCACATTGTGGAAGGAAAGAATCATCTTCTGCAAGTCTGACCTGACCTCCACACCTGCACTGTGGCCCTCGCATGTATGCACACGTTAAGGAAAGAAATATTCCTCATACTCCATCCTGGAAAGACTTGAGAAAAGCTACTCTAGTCACCTGGTGTGTTCTGTAGCTCCGCTGAGAAAGGCAGCCACAAATGTCCTCATTTAAGCCTCACCACAGTCATATGAGAGACAAGTATTCCTGACACAGATGGGAAACCCCAAGCTGGGGGAGGGGTAGCTAGTTAAGATCGCAGGGGCAGTGGTCTGTCTCTAGGGACATGAGAGTAAGCTTGAGAGTGCAAGGCTTCCCCAAGGTTCCTGACAGGTGAGCCATTATTATTTGACTGAATAAATGAGCCCCACTCACAGGGCATGAACATGGCTTCTGCTTGTTTCCTTACTGGACTTCAAGGAGCTGATACTGACACTGGGGCACATCCTTAATAAGACAAATGCAGAGAGTATTTCATGTAAGGACCACAACGACTGGCCCAATAAGGACGATCAGCTTTCACTCCAAGTTGCAAACAGGAAGTCACCAGCATCAATCTTTTCTACTCACAGAGCACCACTAACTGGCTCTTAAGTGGGTCAAGTAGTTATTTAAAAGGATGGTGAGGTCTAAGTTTCACCTACAGAGGAGAAGTAACCTAAAACCCTTTCAGTCTTTCAGACTGGCTAATGCCTTTCACTAAATTTATAATAAGGAAAACTCCTAAATTTAGTTCCTTTCATTTTGTGAACAGTGGTAGTATGAGGACCATGCCAAGATGAACAGGACACAGCTCTTGCCTTCTCAGAGTCCACAGTAGCAGACACAGGAAAGACACATGACAAAAGTGTGCTGGGGTAAGGTTCAACGTGATGACAGGGAGACACCTCAGAGGGCTTGGAGGAAGGTGGGAGTGATGGTTAGCTTCAGTTGTCAACTTGGCACAACCTAGAATCACCTGGGAAGAGCATCTCAATGGAGGATTGTCAACATTGGGCTGGCTTCTGGGCATGTCTGTGGGGGGATAGTTTTAATTAAGTTAATTGATGTGGGAAAACCCAGCCCACTGTGGGCAGAGCCATTCCCTAGGAAGGGGATCCTGACTGCATAAGAGTAGAGAAATTGGGCAGGCGCTCAGGCCACCCCGGCTCCAGAGCAAGTGCAGCCCTAGCCAACCCTGAGTGCAGGCGCGCGAGCAGACCCACAGCCATGAACCTGGCGAGCCAGAGTGGCAAGGCTGGTGACAGCTGCTGTTCGTCAATTTCAACCAGGAAAACACGTGCCTAGCTGTTGGTAAGCTTCACTGTCTGCCAGACTCCCTCCTCAGAAGTAGCAGCGACATGTGGAGATGCCCAGGAGAGATGCCAGTAGACACTCCTCGCCAGAATGATGTGCCTGTTCTGTATCAGTCTTTCAAGTGTGCAGCAAAGTGACGGAGGCTAAGGTCCCAAGTTGTAATGTTTCCCTGTCTTCCATCGTCTTTTGATTTTTTGGTGGGATTGAAGGAAGAAGGGTGTGCTGGACAACTTTAGGGTCAACTTGACACACCCAGGTTGAGGGAGCCTCAACTGGGAAATTGCCTCTATTGGACTGGCCTGTGGCCATGTCTGAAGGGCATCTTCTCGAGTGATGTGGGAGGGCCCAGCCCACTGTGGGTGGTGCCACCTCTGGGCAGGTGGGCCTGTGTTGTATAAAAGAGCAGGCTGAGCAGGGGCCAGGGGAGCAAGCCAGTAAGCAGCATTCCTCCATGGCCTGTGCTCCCATGTTCCTGCCCTGAGTTCCTACCTTGGGCTCCCTGATGAACTGC